CTGGAGCACGGGCAGTTTCCAGATGATACAGATCGGGTGCGACATTCGTCTGCGAACTCTTGAGGGCCGCGCGATCCCTGCCCAAGATGATTTGTGATACCCAGGAGCCACCTCGTACCGTTCAGGTTGCGTAGCGTATTCCCCGTTTTTCTTTTCGCGCGTGTCCAAGAAGGCCGTATTGCAGCAAACCCAACAGGGCCCTTACAGCACCCAGCTTTTGCGACAGCTGCCCTCATTGCATAAGAGATCAGGGCGCCGAACGATGATTTTCCTAGACGCGCAACTTTTCAGCTTGACACTATGCTCCCTTCTACGGACGCGCTCAAACGTAGGCGAGGGCGACCGCAACGGGAATGGGCTTCCAGGCTGTACCAAATCAGTTCACCGAGTTCCAATTCGCACGCGTTGCTTCTGCAGTGCGTCCAGGACCCGGTGCACTGGGACGCCGTTGCACAACGTTACACAGTAGCGTTGACACAGCCTGTCCGCAATTTTCGGCCAGATCGTCCCAGGCGGAATTCATATATTTCGCCAGTCGAATGCCCCCGTCCCTCTCCTTCCCTCCTTGTTCTTTCTCCTTTTTTTCCGCCGCATCCTGCGCACGAGGTAGATATGCAGCTGCCTTCGTGCCACCGCGCCCGCAAAACGGCGGAGTTGGGCTGGCCTGGCCGTTGCGTTTTTCGCCCGCGTGTTTCGGCGTATGGCACGCACGAGCGAGCGAGCCAGGAACCTCCAGAAGCCTGCGGAGACGTCTGAATGCCAATGCAGTCTTCTGGAGTCTTCTGGAGACCTGGTGGCTTCTGGGGGTCAAGAGCAGCCCGAGCTTTGGAGGGGTACCCTAATCATGTACTTCGTGGTCGGGTTCTCCTATTGGATTTTCTCCGTCGGGCGTTCTAAGAAGGGGCTCGTGTTCTCGACGAGCGGCTTCTGCATTGCAAGACTGAAAGGCTCACGCGGTGTCAGAGGCCACAGCCGACGTCGTCACGGCAGGACCTTGCCACAGCGTAGCACAGGCCCGGTCGGACGCCCGAGAGCGTCGCGCCCCATTTGGTGGGGACTGGCGAGGTTAAAAGAGAGGCCCAACCACTCACAGGGCTCGCCGCACGTGTGATCTTGGGGCGACTCCGGTCCCGACCAGCAGGTTCTGTTGCCCCCCGCCCCCCGGAGGGGGCCCGCAATAGAGGCGGCCCGCGGCGGTCGACCCGACCCGCGGGTCGTGGTGCACGGCGCACCCGTGCGATGGGCCCGTGCAAACCTCGACCGCGGCAGCACCTCGGACCTCCAGGGGGTTCCGCGAGCACGGAGCACGATGGCTTCCAGGCCCGGGGCCCGCAACCCTAGTAGACAAAAAATAGATACTGGTAGTGTCTATCTTTGGTGCGGGCCTGCTATGGCGAAACCGCAGCGCATCTGAGTCGGAGCGCGCGAAACGCGAGTCTATTTTTATGTTGTTTTGATGTGCAGTTCGTGTGACCAAATGAAAATAGACACGTGTAAAATAGATACTGTTATCAAAAATAGATACGGGATCAGCTTTTTAGGAAAAACAGACACTAATATACACGCTTCTTAGTTAAAAATAAATACGCATTGCAAATTCCTTGGGTTGAAAATAGAAACCCATCAAAACAAATAGAAACTGGTTCGAACAAATAGATATTGATAGACTCGGCGCGCGCCGAATTCTTGGCCGAGCCCAAAAATAGATACTCCCAACCCCGCTGAAACGTGAGGAGGTTTAAAGATTGGGTGGTTCCCTAGGGATTCCTAAGGATTCCCGAAGGATTCCTAGGGATTCGCTCGGGATTCCGAAGTGCTCCTGAAGGCTTGCTGAAGGATTCCCGGAGGATTCCTGCGGATTCCCCTATAGGGAGTCCTAAACATTCCCGAGGGATTCCTGAGGATTCCCTATAGGGATTCCTACATATTTCCGCTTGCTTTCCTAAGGTTTTCCCCCATAGGCTTGCAAAGGATTCCCTAGGGATTCCTAAGGATTCCTGGCGGATTCTTACAGATTCCGAAGGATTCCCTAAGGATTCCATAGGGATTCCCTAGGGATCCCTAAGGACCCCAAGGGATTCCAATGGATTCTTTCAAGGGATTCCAATGGATTCTTTCGGGGGTCCTAAGGCCAAGGGATTCCATAGGATTCACTCGGGATTGCTCCGGATTCCCTAAGATCTCCTAACGCTTCCTGAGGATTATTTAGCATTCCCTAGGGATTCCTCAAGATTCCCAGAAAGGATTCCTCAGGATTCTTGAAGGATCCCTGAAGGATTCTCACAGGATTCCTTAGGATACCCGAAAGATTCCCCACGGGATTCCCTAAGGGTGCCCGAAAGATTCCCTAAGGATTCCCCAGGGATCCCGAAGGATTCCCAAAGGATTGGGCTACCGCGGGATTCCTCGGGGATTCCGGAGGATTCCTAAGTGATCCCTATATTTTTCTTTTTATTTTTTATTTTTTTTTTTATATTTTATTATTTCTTTTTAGTATTTATTTTTATTTTTACTCTTTTTTGTTTTTTTTTTTATTTTTTATATTTTTTTTTTTACCTTTTTTTATAAGCTTTTTTTTTTAATTTTTATGAAGTCCGTAACGAAAGGGATGTGCGTTGTGTGTGTGCGCTGCTGTGAGTGTATGTGTGTGTGTGTGTGTGTGTGTGTTTGTCTGTCTGTTGTTGTCTGTATGTTTTTATCGACTTACACTTTCTCTTTGATGGATTTTTGCTTTTTGTCTGTCTGTCTGTCTGTACTGTCTGTCTTCTTTTTCTGTCTTGTCTGTCTGTCTGTCTGTCTCCTGTCAAATCTGTCTTCTGTCTGTCTGTATGTCGGTGTGCCGGTGCGTGGGGTGCGTGGCTTGCGTGCGTGCCGGGCGTGCGTGCGTGCGTGCGTGCGTGCGTGCGTGCGTGCGTGCGTGCGCGTGTGTGTATATATATATATATAAAAACACAGGGCCACTCCTGGATCTCTGGGGGGCCCCCTTGGAGCCCTCTTGGGGCTCTCCGTAACGGCATTTGAGGGCCCCGAGAGGGCCTCAATAGGGCCCCAAGAAGGGCACTCGCGTGACTTCGGTTTGACTCCTCCTGGGCCCTCCTTGGAGCCTTATTGGGGCCCTGCGAGACAGCACTGGAGGTGGAGGAGGAGGAAGCAGTGAGGAGGAGGAGCAGGGAGGAGGGGGAGGACGAGGAGGAGGAAGGATGGCGAGTTGGACGAGGACGAGGAGGAGGAAGGATGGCGAGTTGGCGAGTTGGTCGCGTGCCTTTATTTCGACTGGGGGTTGACCCCCTTGGAACCCTCGTGGGGGCCCTCTTAAAGCATTTTCGAGGCTCTCCAGCGTGGTCTCGGGGGGCCCCAGCGGTGTACATGACTCGAGGCTGTGGTTTCTTTCACCCCTTGAACCCTTTCGGGCCCTCTTGGAACCGTCTAGGGGCCCTTCGAGATTCATGGAGGGTCCCGGAGGGCCCCCTGAGTATCCCAAGAGGGCCGAAGAAGGGGTCCGAGAGGGGCCCAAGAGGGCCTCAGCAGTGTATATGACTCGAAGCTTTGTGTTTACTTACCCCAGGCGCCCTCTTGGGGCCCTTCAAGGCCCTCCACACACACAAACGCACGCGCGCACGCACGCACGCACGCACGCACGCACGCACACACACACAGACACACACACACACACACAACACACAACACAACACAACACAAACACGCGCACACACATACACACACACTAACACACACACGCACACACACACACTACCACTAACACTAACACTAACACTAACACTAACACTAACACTAACACTAACACTAACACTAACACTAACACTAACACTAACACTAACACTAACACACCCACACACACACACACACACACACACGCGCGCGAGCACGTACGCCATACACTTCCGCGCGCACCCATACGCATGCACACATCGTCACATGCATACAGGCCCATGCAGGCGTTCACGTGCACACATCCACGCCACCTTCGATTGAATGTCGTGGACTGTTTGAAGCTGGTCTTCTCAGCTCTACTATGGTCGCCACTTCGTGTTTTAAGATTGATACCGTTGCTCAAAAATAGATACTAAATAAATACTAGTTAGACACTAATAGACACGGAACTCTTGCAACACAGCCGATACGCAAACATATTTTTAGACACTGTCAGAAATAGATACGTTTAGATCTTATGACCACCAGGCCTCAGCGGGAGCACGAGAATTTCTAAAAGCGTCTATTTCTAAAAGATAGATACTAATAGATACAGTGTACACGGCGCCTCAACGGGAAGCTCAGAATTTCGGCTGGGGCCCAAAAGAGGCACGAGCGGTGCACGTCACGTTTCTCTCCCCCGCCGCCCGCCCCCCCCTTGGTCGCCGCCCCCCCCCCCCAACTCCCCCCCCTAAAGCAACGCCCAAGCATCGCGGCGTCGGAGGTCCCGGGGTCGGCGCGCAGCCGCGTCGGCTCAAGGGCCGCTCGGGCGCCGGCTGCGGCTGTCCACGCGAGCGGTCGTGTTCGCCATGGGGAGAACGGGTCCTGAGTGTTTTCGCCGTCTGTAGCCTCCAACAAGGGCCCTCCGCGGGCCCAGGGACTGTCAGAGCAGAGCAGCTCAGGGCGAAGCGTCGGTCCCGGGGGAAGGTCCTTGGCATCGCTCGGACTAGTGCATTTTTCCTTCGGCGAGGACCATCGAGGAGCATCCTTGACCATTTGGCGAAAAAGACCACGCACGAAACCGAACAAAAAAACACAGGGAATGGACGTCCGAGCGATGGCGAGTCCACGGGCCCAGGGACTGTCAGAGAAGAGTAGCTCGGGGCGAAGCGTCGGTCCTGGGGGAAGGCCCCGGGGTCCTGGATCCGCTCCCCTCAGGACGCTTTCTCTTCGTGCCAGGTCGGGTCTCTCGCAGCGTGCCAGCGCCCCGATCGCCGCGCGCAGTTGTCGCTTGGACCTTCGGTGGGCTGCGGAGCAAAATTCGGCGTTGAAGCGGCTGGTTTTCCAGAATGTTCCACCCGACGCAGAATGTGAGGGGCGAGGTCAGTGAGTTCTATTCCGGCCTGGACACACAGGAAATGAGGACCCGCCCAGAACTCAGCAGTTTGTTCGACACGTCCGAGAATGATGAGTTCCACCTGCTCCTAGGCATGACAAAGCAGAGCGTTCAGCTGGCAGCAGACATGATAGGTTTCAATCCGGAGAAATACAGCCGTAAGACTGTGTTTGAACAGCGCGGCAAGCTCGACTACATCACCGGGATATGCGGCGATGAGTTGACAGGGTACGACTTTGCCGAGAATATCAAGTTATGGCTGAGACAGAATCAGAACGAAGAATGGTCTCTCGCAGAAGTTTGGCTTGCCGGTAAAGGCCCTGGTGTAGGAATGGCTACTTTGTTCGTGTCTCACATACGGGCGCAACCACTAGAGGCTACTTTACATAATGTACCCGATGACGTTTATTTGTGGCTTGATTATCTGGCTGTCTTCGGCGAACCCCGCCACCGTGCCAGCGTGGCAGAGCAAAAAAGGGGAGGCCGAAGTTGAAAGATGTTCCAATTCAGTGCCTTGTCTGATTTGGCGTGCGCCTTAAACCCCCCCTCGTGTCCTCAGCCTTGTTCTCTTCATACTCAACCCTCCTCAGAGTTTCTCGGCCCTGGGACGCGTCGACCACCGCCACTGCCGCTGTCGCCGTCACCCGAGTCGGTGCCAGGAGAGGAGAGGAGAGGAGAGGAGAGGAGAGGAGAGAACAGGATGAGAGGAGAGAGGAGAGGAGAGGATATGAGATATGAGAGGATAGGAGAAGGAGGAACGAGGAGAGGAGGAGGAGGAGGAGGAGGAGGAGGAGGAGGAGGAGGAGGAGGAGGAGGAGGAGGAGGGGCAGGAGAAGGAGAAGGAGGGGGAGGAGGAGGAGGAGGAGGAGGAGGAGGAGGAGGAGGAGGAGGAGGAGGAGGAGGAAGGGGGTGGCGGCGGGAGTGGCAGTGCCGAAATGCGCCCAGAGTCCAGCAAGGCATGCTGGTGCAAACCCGACTTGTCTGGCGGATGCTCGGGGGGGGGGGCTGTGCTCAGAGGAGGCCGCAGCACCGCTCCACGATGTGTGGTGTTCCATCGATTCTGCAGGGCGGGCGGGCTCTGTCCCAAATCGGTGTCTCGGTGCGGATCGACTGCGCGCCTCGTCTCCGTCGTCGTCGGCGGTGTCGTCGTGGTCGTGGTGCTTGTTGCTCTGCTCGGGATTTGTTCCCCATATGCAGTGACCACGATCACCACCACCTCCCCCTCCATGGTCCCTCTGGAATTCATCGTGGAGGCTTCTCGAAGGTTTTTTTTTTCTGGCCCATTGAAGGCGTTTCGGGGCCCTCCCTGGGGCCTCCTGGGTGTATGATGGGGGCGCGTCGGGAGTGTCGGGGCCGTTTTGAGCGCGATGGCTTTATCGAGCTCTCCCGAATACCCTCGATCCGATCGTATTTGGCACGTCTAGGCGGGCCATAGAGTCTTTTAGGGTGTTCCCGATGCGATCTTCAGCCGAACAGATAGGTAGCCAAGCAGCCTCGAAATGATTTCACATGTCGTTGCTCTGGGCCTCGTGCCATCTCGCTTGAGGCCCTCTGTGGGTGCCTCCTGGGGTTTCTGGGGGGCCTCTTGGGGCCTCTTGTGTACAGGTTGGGTCGTTGTCGGGCCGAAGAACCGTCGCGGGCTGGTCTGGGCAACTTGCGCTGTCTCGGAGCTACAGTTCGCCGCCCTGGAGTCTTCTAGAAGCCGAGAGGGTTGTGGGTAAACAATATTGGGAAGGCCAATTTTTGAAGGCTGATTGCTATGAAGGGGGTCTGCCCCTTGCAAACTGCAGAACTTCCTGGGGACAGCTGACGCTCATTCTAACGCTCAACTCCGCTGTCGTGCAGGCACAGTGGCGGATATCACCCTTCGGCAATGTCAGGATGACTACGTTCCAGAGAGAGTGTCGGGCGTCATACAGTATCTATCAAAGGCCCATGATGGCACTCGTGTAGTTTTAGATGAGCCCACACTGAGTTATTTGACGCGCTCTTTTTGCATATTTGAGGTTGCTTGTACGAAGCCCGGCAAACTTTGCATCGATATGAGTGAAGACACCTCGAACATGTTCTTGCAGGGCGCCTTCTCCATCGATGCTAAGGCAGCCCAAGCGACAAGCGTGAAGCAAAAGTACCTAGTGGATGGTTACATCCTTGGGCAGTGGGGATCTTACAGAAGATTCAACGAGAGCGTTTCAGCCGCGTTCCGGTCGGCCTACAGGTCCCAAGTGGAGGCCGAGGAAGAGGTCTCCATCGAAGTAACCGACAGGGAACAGAAAGAAGAGCTGAACCAAGAGCGCTTGAGGGCGCAGGAGGCAGCAAAGGTGGCAGAGGAGGCGAAGGACGAGGCGAGACGGTTGGCTGAGGACCATAAAGCCGAGGTACAGGCGGCAAAGCAAGAGACCACCAATCTGCGGCAAGCCAAGGAAGCCGCCGAGGAGAAGCTGCGGCTGCAGCAGGAGGAGATGTGGCAGGAGAATCGGAGGCGGCAGCAGGAAGAGCGAAGGCCGTTCAGGCGAGCCTCGTCCAACGAAGAGGCGAAGCAGGATGCGAACGGGGCTGGTGCAATGGCGACGGCAAGGGCGGTGGCCCGGGCGGTAATGGCGGCATGGCCATCTGGTGGCGGCATGGGCGGTGGGGGCTGCGGCGGCGGGGGCGGCGGCCACAGCAAGGGCGGCCACAAGGGCGGTTGCAGGCTAGGTTGAGAGCAAGCAATCACAAGCAGGGCTCCAGATCGCATCACCGTCGTGACAGCGCGGGGCTGAGCGGGCAAGCTCCTCGTTCATAGTCCTCCTGAACAGAATGTGCGGCCGTCGGTCATAATTTCAATTTTCCGGCGAGCTTGATGAAGCAGGCCTCGCTACACAGAGAGAGGCTGTCGTTCTCATATGTGCACCTACACATCTGTAGATGTATACAATTATCCCGGCAAAGCAACCTAACAGCGATGTGTAGAAGCATAGCTGGAAACATTGCTTGTGGTATTCATGTAAGAGTGCTGTTGTAGAATTCTGGTGTTCTCGCAGTCGCATTCGGATTCGCAGTGGCAGTCGCAGTGGCAACATCAGCGGCAGTCGCACTGGCACTGCCAGTAGTTGCAGTAGCAATAGCTACACTAGCAGCAGCAACAGCAGCAGCAGCAGTAATAGTAACAGTAGTAGAAGTAGTAGTGATGGTAGTAGTGGTAACAGTGAAGTAGTAGTTGTACTGTGTGGAGTGAACGAGTAGGAGTGATGGGAGCAGTGGTAGTAGCAGTAGAAACACTGCTTTCGATAACGGTATCTCCAAATGAGATCTTTGTATAAATGCATTGAGGTCTAAACAATACACTGCTATCAACGGATGTGATTCCAAACGAGACACTGCTATCAACGGGTTGAGCCTCAAACGACACACTTGCATCAATGAATGTAGCTCCAAAACAGGCACTCCCATGAATGGATTTAGTGTGATGTCGTAGTAGTAGTAGTAGTAGTAGTAGTAGTAGTAGTAGTAGTAGTAGTAGTAGTAGTAGTAGTAGTAGTAGTAGTAGTAAAGTAGTAGTAGTAGTAGTAGTAGTAGTAGTAGTAGTAGTAGTAGTAGTAGTAGTAGTAGTAGTAGTAGTAAAGCATTAGTAGTATCGTGTCAGTATTTGTATTTTGAGTGTATAGTTGCTATTATGTATAGTCGTAGTAGTAGTGATTGTAGATAGTAATGGTAGTAGTAGAAGGGAAAAGTATTAGTAGTAGTAGTAGAGTATAGTCGTAGTAGGAGTAGTAGTAGTAGTAGTAGTAGTAGTAGTATTAGTATAGGAAGTACTAGTAGTGTAAGTATAGTAGTAAGTGTATAGTACGTAGTAGTATAGTAGGGATACACATATTAATAGTCGGTATTAGTAAGTATTAGTAATATAGTAGTGTAGTAGTATGGGCACGGACCCGTAAGACCTGAGACTCCACCGGGGTGCTCGGCGAATCCATTGATGATGATGATGTGATGATTGAGGAGGATGATGGGATGATGACCGCGCTACTTGGATTTGTTCTGTCCGTCTTTCTCGGCCTCCAACCAAATCTTGGAAGACATCTCGCAAACGGAAGAGGAGCGCACTGAGGAGCGGCGTGTGAAGCGGACAGTCGGCAAAACTTGCAGGCTGAGAAGCACCGCAGAAACTCGGAGGCCGAGAAGCACCGCGGCCGCGCGGTCCTACTACTGCTGGAACTAGGATTACAAGTACGCACGCCGAGAAGCACCGTGGACACGCGGGCTCGGATACATCACCTCTCCCGCTTGTATTGCAGGAAATCGCGCCAATCCGGCGGCTGGCAAGTACCGAGGAAGCGCAGGCTGAGAAGCACCGCGCGAGTGCAGGCTGAGAAGCACCACGCGAGTGCATGCCACGGCATTGCGTGTCACATGAACGCAGGCTGAGAAACACCACGTGCTGTTTGCCACAGATCACTCCCAGGTCACTTGATCCCGCAACAACAGCCACGGCGTAGCTGCCACAGGGGCCGCAGAGAGCAACGGCTCGGTCACCCAATTGGCCTGTCGGTGAATCACAATGCGCGTGTGGCTCCATGAGCCATTGTATCGCGCGTTGCGAGGCACCAGTGTGCTGCGCGTGTTGTTGCCGTAGCAGATGACGGCCTCTGGGGCCCAGTGCGGATTCCAGCGGACAACGTAGACCCTGTGGACGCCATTCCGGATGACGTCGCGCGCACCCTCGATCTGTGCCTCCCATCGAAGCCAGTCAAACGCTGAGCCATCGGTGATGTCAACAGCACCTGGGGCAGTCTCGCCATGGTGGTAGTGCAACAGCGTTTGGAGAGCGGCGCTCGCTTCGTCGCGGCCCGCAGTCTGGCGCGAGCGGGCGGCCACTTGCAGGTGCTCCAGTGCGAAGAGCAGTGGGGCATCACCGCCAGGCGCGGCAGGCTGAGCAGCGCCACCGCTAGGCATGGCAGGCTGAGCGCTGCTACCCAGACCTCCAAAGTGTTGATTTTTTTCAAGACGCGTCAAACGTAATGATATTGAGAGGTTGTTTTGATATTTTTCAAACGTCTTGATTTTAAGTGAAATGTGTTGATTTTTCGTCGCATGTTTTGATTTTTGGTCTGATGTCTTGATTTTTGGTGCGATGTCTTGATTTTTGCGTATAGTCGTCGCCGACGATATTGTGTAACATCGGATCGTAGGGGTAACGCCTCATGTATGTATATATATATATATGTATACAGATACACATTACAGTGCTTGCATATATATATATATATAAAATGTATATATTTATAGATATATGTGTATATATAGGAAATATAGGTCAACATTGGTAATATAATTGTATGTCGTCGAATATCCCCGCGTTGCCAACGTCGATTGCCGCCGCCTGGCGCCACCGACTCATTGGTTCCCGCGTTCTGCGCTGCCCGCTGTCGTCGCCGATGGCCGCCGTGCTACCGACGTTGACTGCTGCCTGCTCTGCGCTCTGCATATAAATGCATGTATAAGTACGTGTGCATATATATATATATATATATATACACACAATATACACTATACAATATACAATATACAATATACAATATATATGTTTATATATATATATATATACTGTATACACATATATATATATATAATAAATTCATATATACATATATACATACATCTATATATAGCGCTTGCTGCGTGCCTCGCGCGCAAATTGTTTGGCCCAGGGCGCCTCCTGGGCCCCCCTCCCTCCCCGCGTTCGCTCCCTCCACCCCGAGATCTCCCTCCACCTCGAGATATCTCCCTCCACCTCGAGATCTCGCCTCCTCGATCTCACTCCCCGTTTTCGCTCGATCCCTCGCTCCCTCCCTCGCCATGGCCGCCGCCATGGCGCGGCGCGGCCGCGCGGCCAGGGTCGACGCCGAGGTCGCGTCGCAGGCGCTGCCAGGGGAGGGGTCCGGGCAGGGAGGAGATGAGAGGGTCAAAATGACGATGAGGAGAGGATCGAGGGGGAGTGCGCAGGGGAAGAAGATCCTCGAGCCCCCTCCCTCCTCCATCGCCCTCCGCCCTCCTCCCTCCTCCTCCCTCCTCCTCCCTCCCCTCCCTCCTCCTACCTCCTCCTCCCTCCTCCTCCCTCCCCCCTCCTCCCCCCCGCTGCCTCGTCCTCCTCCCCCCGCCTCTCCCGCCCCAGGTGCTCTTGATGCCCATGATCGAGGCGCCTCGGCTGCTAGGCGCGGCGACGCCCTGGAGCCGCGGAGGAGGAGGAGGAGGAGGAGGGGGAGGAGGAGGAGGAGGGGGGGAATAAGGAGGAGGAGGCGGAGGAGGAGAAGGAGGGGAAGGAGGAGGTGGAGGGTTTAATTAGGAGCGGCCCTCCTCTTTCTCATCCTCGTCGTCGCCAGCATCTTCATGTCTCATCCTCGTCGTCGGTTTCATCGTTCTCATCCTCTTCGTAGTCGTCTTCCTTTCTCATCCTCGTCGTTGTCCTCATCGTTCTTGATCTCGTCGTCGTCGTCGCTCGAGCCGTCCACGCCTGGCGCTTGATCTACGTGGATCCGCCGCCTCATCCTCTTCCTGCTCTGGTGCCTCCTGCTGCTGCTGCTGCCGCTGCTGGTGATGGCGCCCTCATCTTTCATTCTCGTCGTCGTCGTCTTCTTTTATCGTCCTCAATCGTCGTCCTCATCGTGATCGTCGTCGTTGTCTTTCTCATCCTCGTAGTCGTCCTCTATCGTTCTCATCTTCGTCGTCGTCGTTCTCGTCCCCTCACCTCGTTCTCATCCTCATCATTGCCGCACTTTGCCCTCTTCGTCATTCGCCGCCCGATGAGGCGACATCCCAGATTTCAAGTACAGCTGCAGCGACTTCGGATCCAGACCCGAGGTCAAGGAGATCCAGGCCGCCCTCGAGCCCTGGGAGAAGGGGGGGATCCCTGGGGCGAGGAGGATCTCGAGGAGGAGGGAGGGAGGAGGGCAAGAGGCGGGAGAATCGAAATAGGGACGCCAAGGGGGGAAGGAGAGAGGGTGGTCGGGGACGGAGGGGAGGGCGCGCGGAGTCGAGGGAACGTGGATCGACTGTAACTGTGATGATGATGATGATGATGGTGATGATGATGATGATGATGACGATGATGATGATGATGACGTCGGCGACGACGACAACGCTGATGATAATGACGATGGTGATGATGATGATGATGATGCCCGTCTGCGTTGCGCGAGGCCTTGGGAAACGAGCTCGAGGTTATTTCTAAGGACATGTCCCCGCCTTCCGTGAAAACAATGATGGTGTTGATGATGATGCTGATGATGAGGGTGATGATGCTGATGATGACGACGATGAGGATGATGCTGATAGCGGTCATGATGATGGTGATGATGATGGTGATACTGGTGATGATGCTGCTGATGGCGGTGATGCTGGTGATGACGATGGTGAGGATGACGATGATGATATTGATGATGCTGATGATGATGATGATGATGCTGACCGTGATGTTACTGCTGGTGATGATGATGATACTGCTGGTGATGATGATAGTGATGATGCTGATGATGATACTGCTGGTGATGATGATCCTGGCCGCGATGGAGATCATATCATGATGATGCGGAGTGTGATGGCGACGATGGTGATTCAGCGTGATGTTACCGTGGTGGTGCGGGTGAGGGTGATGACGCCGACGATGATGGTGATTGTGATCGCGGCGATGGCGATGATGATGGTGGCGACGATGACGACGATG